ACTAAATATAAATTTTTTTCAACATTTTTCCGCATATGAAACCAACACATTACAACATTATGATCAGTTCCAAATACTTTTAAAAATGCATTACTAATGACTTCAGCATCATCTGCAATAAGTATTAATTCTTGTTCATTCATCTGTAAGTTTAAATTAAGTAAACCATCACGAAGATAACTAAATATAAATTCAAAATCATTTTGTTTTTCATTAGAACAAACAGCAAATCCAAATGGATGAAATTGTGTAATCATATCAGGGGTTCCAATAATAAAACAAGGAGATCCTTGCCAAATTCATTTGTAAGTAGCATCAACATGAATTTTATATGAAATACTTGCATTAAATAGCAATCTTCTAGTAGTAACAAAAAATCGAAATTTATTTTTATTATCATCATCTTTATTAATTTCATCATCATATTCAATCTGATATTTTAATACCCAAGGCTTGTCATCATCATCAGGTATTAATGAATTTCGTTGACACCAAGCTTCAAGTTCACCTAAGCTAATCGTTGAAGCACCATAATATTTTTTTCTTAATGATATCAAATAACTTGATAATTGTTGTTTTTTTGGAACAGGTAGACCTTTTTCTTCTAATATTTCTAGTATACGTTTTGGCTTGATTTTCATTTTGAATAATTTGCATATTACTTCTTTTGATTATTAATTAATACCAATAGATCTTGACTCGTTATGTAAATGATCATCTTCTGTTTTTTACATTGTAACACATTCATTTTCACTATGGTATAAAACATGAATACTAGCTGGACATGGCTTCCCATGTAGTTTAACCTGGTTACACCTATAATAAGTCCGTTTTCCTTCGTTGGTGATATTCGTATGGGTTTTGCTCCATATTCCATCATCATTGATTTTCTTAATAACGTCATTCTTATCACTGTATGTGCATAATGGAATCCATTTTCGCCTGTTTTGCTTTTTTCTTTCAATTGTTTCATTGTCAATGGAAGGTTGAATTTCCATATCAATGTTATTGTCAGAATCAGAAAAATAGTGTGCTATGAGTTGTGCTTGAGTCATGTATAAAAGTTATATATAAATTTCATGAGGATAAGAAAACGTTTATTGTTGTAAAAAATTGAAAGTGACTTTAGAGAAAATCTAAGTAGTACATATTATTCTCCATCATTTTCTGAGTAGCCTGTAAAAGTTTCCCAACTACCTGATGCAAACTCGCCTAGATATTCAATCCCAAAAGTCCACCTTTTCATGTGTAAGATTTATTGTAAAAGAATGCTTTGAAATTAAAGCAAAGACATAAATATTGCATGTGAGTCGAGAACTCTCAGTGAGTTCTATCTATCTCACCACATATGGGTCGTTTGAACTTAATTAATGGTTCATAGAACATAAAAACCTTTGTTCTGATCTCAGATAAATTGTGAAACACTTTCCAAAGGTCGAATAGATTTCAAATTTTATTTTAGTTTATTTGCCTGTAAACCTTTTTCAGCGTGGTGTCAGGAGTCGAATGATATATAATAAGACTAATTTTGGTCAAAAGTCGCTCGAAAATCAGTAAAAGAAATCTGGAGCTACATTTTAACATATAATTTTAATTTCTTCTAAAGTTTAAAAGCTATATGGCTGAAAGTTTGTGTGGTTGAAGAGCTTTTTGTATACTATATAGGGTGAACGTTTGAGTGAAACTAGGCAAGCACTTCAGGAGTTATTAACTAAACAATTTTTGAAATCTGGAGCTACAAAGTGAGTGAAAAAGAGCTTTTTTCATTTTTTTCACTTTAAAAATAAGATTCTTTTCAAAAACTTTTGGCTGTTTCAAGACTGCTTTTTTATGCTGTCTTTTGGCAAGATCATTTTTTCAAAAATCAGTTTCCTTATTTTGAGAGAAAGAGTTTTCATCTGGAACTATATTTGTGTGTAAAAGTATTACCATATTAAACGATCACAAAGAGAAAATAAAATAAATAAATGAGTCATAGTTTTAGATAGTTTGAAAGTTGCTGTACAAAACGTGCTATATAATTTTTCTTTTAGCACTCTTTTTTTCCTTGAAAAATCAGTTTTTTCTTAGATCAGTCATCGAAAAATGTCTGTTTTTTTTTACTTTCAATGTAAATATCTCCATAGATTCACAAGCTAGAGACTTTAAATTTCTATGGTAGTGCAGGCATGAATTAAGCAACAGAACAAAAAAAATTTCGAAAATCGATTCTGTAGAATCGGAGTTGTGATTGAAACACTTTAATATTCCAATCGTACAATAAAGTTGCAACTGACTCATATATATATTACTCATTCTATATATTTATCACCTAAATTTGATTATTGCTCGTTCTATCTTTTTATTGCTCAATTAAATATAAGTCTGATATATATAGCAACTATCTCATTACAATATGTGAACTTCTTGAAAGTTCGTCTTTAATTGTGGTAAAAAAGAAGTTTTAATCAAGCAGATACAACATTGCTTAAAGATGGATTAGCAATCATTCCCAAAAACGTTTTAGACTGTCTGTTAGTCTTCTTTTAATAATAAACGTTGTGTTTTAATTAAGTCTACTGGTTGATTCATCTTCAAGATAATCACGAGCGCATGCATGAAAAACTACTACTTGCCTATTGAGAATGATATGGTTCATTGATTCAAGTAAGTAAAAGTAAGTGGAGAAAAGCCACGTAATGATGTCAATGATAGATACGGCGTACAAGCCATTGCAAATATACGGTGTGAGTATTGGATTTGGGTGTACGGATATTATTCATGGAATAGAACATGAACACCCACACTCACACCCTCACGATCAAATAATCAAGGTTTCTTTTAATCATCAAAAAAAGTAACTTCGAGATTCCAAGGTGATTTATTTCATATATCAACGTATATTTTTATTTTGATCGTGGCAAAATAAAATCGAAAAACAAGCGAAACGAAAAAAGGAAGAAGATTGAAAGAGAAAAAACCCGCACGGGGACGAATGCATATATGAAAAGATACTGCTTGCCTATTGAAAATGACACGGCTCATTGATTCACGTAGACAAAAGTAAGTTGGAAAAAACCAAGTAATTTCGTCAGTGATAAATACGGTGTACACTTCAACGCAAACATACTAAAACGAATTCGCATTCTTCTGTACATCTTACCAAGTATGTATATTTTATTCCGTTTAAATTGTTTATAGATAATACAGAAAAAGCGTAGTGAAGTATACTTAACCTGAAGATATTGGCTTTCAATAAAAGATTAAGTGTTCTAGACCTATTTAGCTGTTGAAGTTTCTTTCAAACATTCATTTGATTTAAGATATGGATAGAATTAAATGCTGAATTTATTGAAAAGAAACTTCAATTTGAAAGCACGTGAAGACTATTAACATGCAATTAGTATTATGAATAAGTTATTAGAAATATGAAAACATCCTAATCTCTTGTTTTTAAATCAAAAATTGCGAATCTATCTATCATTTGATACAACGGCCAATACCAAGGGGGGAAGGCGGATTCTCAGGATTCCAAATCCCACAGAAATCTCGGGAATCACAGAAATCCAGAAAATATAATTTATATTCTGGATTAATAAAAGCATCAATCGACGCAATTTACGAAACAAACTATACAGATAAGTCAGTTGCTGTGAAACAAGGACTTTCTGCCATAAAAAGTATAATACAAATTCTTCTGAAATTCGTAATTCCCATCACCGAAGAGAACAAGTTGTAACATGTTGATTTATGACACGAATCTGGTTTATGCTTTTGATATTATAAATTGCATGTATTATCTACGCGCTGTATAAATAAAACAAAATGATGTATATAATTATCCTGCTTAGAAAATTTAGTAAGACGCCTCCCCATGTCGCGAAAATTGTCGTGATTTTGGTGATTTTTTTAAAATGGGTCTATAAATCGCATTTTTTTCTGCTGGATATCCATTTAAAGAAGGAGAAAAAAATTGGCAATTTAGTTTGAACTAAATGGTGATTCAGCTCACAGTAAATCGCCGATTGGTCTACTTTTTTACATGGATGCCCAGCAGAAAAAATCGCCAAAATCACGACGATTTTGGTGACATATGTGTCTTCAGTCGAGACAAATTATAAGGCAATCCTATGCGCAAAATATCTGAAAATGTCGTATCTACACGGTGTATTATTGAACTATTCTAGTTCATACATATAAATAATAAAAGCAATTGGTATGCAGAATACAATCTAAGAAAAAAATTCGAACTCTTTCAATCATGATGCAACTCAAGGGGGGATTGACAGGTTCTCGGAATTTCGAATCCCATGGGAATCCTGGGATCAAATAGAAATCCAGGGAGTTCAATCAATATCCAAGAAATACTTGAATTAGATGTCTGAATAACACTGAAATCATAACTCATGCTCATGCATAACAAATATCCCTTCGTTCATTTAATATTTTGAAACCCGTTTGTGCCAAGAAGTACATCCGCGCAAAGGACTATATTAGATAGGGGTTATATGAACCGCCGGACGTCCACATGTAAGTCATAGAGATGACGAACATACTGCAGTGACGTAACACATAATCGTCCACTGAACAGTGCGTAATCTTTCTGTGTATCTTTTCTCTCTAGATAACTTTCTCTTTCTCCGTATCCAATTCTCTCTCAATAACTTTTATCTCTATGTATTTTCTTCTCTCTCCGTTCTCTTCTTTCTTGGTAGCGTATATAAGCGTGTGTTTTGATTAGATGGATACACTTGGATGTAGAGTATAGTTGAATGAACATCGTGTAGTAAAACACTAAACTATGCCTCTCCATTTGTCATAACGAGTTAGAATAAATTTGTGCTTTATAATACAATCGTATGTATTCGGTTGTATTGAAAGACAACACACAGAACTCATTTTGGACAAGAATAAACTCATCGTGTGGAATTGTTGTTAATATTATACACATAGTGGCTAAAATATATAGCTGATACTGATCNAATCCAATGAATTTCCAAGGAATACTTAAATTAGATGTCTGAATAACACTGAAATCATCACTCATGCTCATGCATAATAAATATCCCTTCGTTCATTTAATATTTTGAAACCCGTTCCTTTAAGAAAACCACGCAGTGGTATGGAAAATAAAGGTGTGGATGTGAATCTTTCGTGGGGATGGAAAAAATACGTAGATCATCGCCCTCATCGATATCGTAAACTGAACGTTCTGGAGTATAGTAGAAGCTACTGATTTCTAACGAAATAATGTGATCTCAATCGTTACGTCGAGTATGATAATTTGTAGAGTTCAATTAGGTGAGAAATCTCGAAAGTTTTGTACAATAACGCTCATATTGATTCATAGAAGGATGAATCGGACTACAACTTTTAATTCGACATAACATATATAGTTGCAATTGAAATAAGGGACTAGCTCCGAAGACGAACTTGCGGTCTTTTCATTTTATCCAATACTTAGTAAGTCGTAGCTCTGCAATCAACACTATTATTCCCAGACTGATCAATAATGATTTATCCGTGAATATTAATACAAAAAAAACGGGCAAATAATTTATTGACTTTTTACCAAATGATTGGAATAATATACTAACCGATGAGTTTATATTAATTCATTATCCGGCTTGTTTAACAAAATAGACATGATTAATGAGAAAAT